GCACTTCTATATCGCAGAGATCAAATGCTAACTCTCTGACACCATGTCCTAACTCTCTGTTGACCATGACAACACCATGGCCAATCAAACGACCGTTTCCCACTTTATTCATGAACTCATCCCTTCCAGTGACCTCCCCTCCACCGTCTCCAGCCCGCACTGCCCGGTTCGACCAGCTCCCCAAGACCCACAATCCGAACTATCCTGGCTGACCCATTGTCTCCGCATGTTCCTGCCCCACGAACTCATCTTTTACTTTACGCCTTCTGTCATCCTGACAGCCCTCCAACATTTCCCGCTCCACAGATCTTAACCAAACCCGCCTAACATAATAAATATAAGGTCCCCCATATCCCCATTTTCCACCCCATCAGCCTCTGCATCCAATGTATTATCCTCAAATACTTCCGCCAACTCCAATTCGACCCCACCTCCTACCCAAAATATCTTCGACTCCCCATCCCTGTCTGTCTTCTGCAAAGACCATTCCCATTACTATTCCTGATTTCAAGCCACTCTCCCCATCAAGCACTTCAACCCACCCGGCAACTTCCCCTGTAATCATAAAAGATGCAACATCTGACCACACATCATCTCCCTCACCGCCAACCTTGGCCCAAAACAGAGCTTTCAAGTGAGACTGGGCTTCACCTGCATCTTCTCCAACCTAGTCTATAGCGTCTGCTTCTCCGTGTGGTCTTCTCCATGTCAGTGAGAACAAACGTAGATTACGTGACAGTTTCGTTGAGCATCTCCACCCATTTCAACATCACGCCCCACTCCACCTCCTACATGTCCATCCTCGGCCTCCTCCAGTGTCGCAGCCACTTGGAAAAAAGCATTTGAAAAACGACATCTTATCTTCCACCTGTGCATTCTACAGACCGGAGGAAGCAGCATTGTCTTGTCCAAATTCATTTAACCTTCCCACCCATCCCCCAGCTTACCTTCCACCCCTACCTCCTCCCTTCCATTCCACCTTCTGACCCTCCCTTCCAGCCAATTACCGGATTCATTCCTTCCATCGACCAACCAGTTCGTACCTATCACCATTGCCTACCTGTCACCACCAATCCGCATTCACAACCCCTCTCCCCTCCCCGCTTTATATGCAGTTCCCCTTATGCCCACATCCAGTCCTGAAGAAGGGTAATATCCGAAACGTTGACTGCTCCTTTCCTCCAGATGCTGCCTGACTTGCTGTGTTCTTCCAGCCTCCTGTCTGTCTACCTAAGGGCATTATTATGTTGGATTTTTTAAAATTATTATTCATGAGATGTGGGCATCGATTGCTGGACAAGCATTTATAGCCCACCCCTAATTGCCCAGAGGGAAGTTAAGAGTCAATCACTTAGCTATGTGTCTGGAGTCACATGTAGGGCAGATGAGGAAGGATGGCAGATTTCCTTCCCTAAAGGATGTCAGTGAACCAGATGGGTTTTACCTGAAAATTGAGTAATGATTACATGGACATCATTAGACTCTTGATTCCGGATTATTATTGAATTCAAATTCCAAAATCTGCCATAGAAGGATTATAATCCAAATTCCCAGAACATTACCTGGGTCTCTGGATTAATTGTCTGACGATAATACCACTAGGACATCACCTGCCGCAAAAATCAGAAGAGTGAAAACGGGATGTTAGAAAGTCCTGGCAGATAAGGTTAAGGACATTCCAAAGAGTTTCTACAAGTACATTTGAGGAAAAAAGTCCCAAGGGAGATGATAAGACTTCTTAAAGATCAAATAGCTGTCTCTGTGTGCAACCACAGTAGATGAGTAAGATACTCAACGAATATTTCACTTCAGTATGTATTGTGGAGAAAGACATGAAAGTTTGGGAACTCGGGGAGATAAATAGTGATGCCTTGAAAAGGTTCCATATGACATAAGAGGAGATGGTGAGATCTTGAAAAGCCAAAAGATCGATAAATCACCGGGGTCTGATAGAGCGTATCTTAGGACACTGTTGGATGTTAAGGAAGAAATTGTGGAGTCCCCCAGCAGAGATATTTGTGTCATCAACAGCTATGGGTGGGTGTAGGCACACTGCAGGGTGACTAATATTATCTTTTTATTTAAGAAAGGAAGCAAGGGAAAGCCTCGGGTCGACAGACAGGTAAGTATAAACGTTAATGTAGGGTAAATTGTTGGAAGGAATTCTGAGAGACAAAATTTACATGCATGTGGATAGGCGGGACTTCATTAGGGATAGTCAACATGGTTTTGTGCATAGGAAATTGTGTCTTACAAACTTGTTTGAGTTTTTTTTTGTGTGGACATGACCAGGAAGATACATGAGTACAGAACAGTAGATTTCGTCTACGCAGACTTTAGCAAGGCCTTTGTAAAGGTGCTTCATGATAGACTGTCTAATGAAGTTAGATCACATGGGATCCAGGGAAATATGGCTAACTGGGTACAAAATTGGCTTGACGGCAGGAGACAGATTGTGGTAGTGTGATTTTTTTCCTTTTCTGCATGAAGACCTGCGATCGTTGGTGTTGACATTTGTTTGTCAGTTCGATTTGGATGAAGATTTGGGAAGTAAAGTTTGTAAGGTTTCGGTTGACACCAAAAGTATTGGTATAGTAGATATTGAACAATGTTATCATAGAGACCAATGAGACCTTGATCATTTGTCCAAATGGGCTGAGGAGTGCCAAATGTAGTTTAATTTTGATAAATGCGAGGTGCTGCATTTTGGTAAAACAAACAAGGGCAGGACTGTTACAGTTAATAGTTGGGCCTTGGATCGTTTACTGACTCCTATGGGCTTAAGTACATAATTCCTTCCAACTGGCGTCGCATGAGATAAGTTGATGAAGAAGACGTTTGGCACATCTGGCTTCATCGGTCAGCATACTGAGTTTAGGTATGGACACATCATGATGCGGCTTAGAAGATGTTGGTGAGGCCACTTTTGAGTACTGTATACATTTCTGGACACCCTGCTATGTGAATGATACTATTCAATTGGATATAATGCAGATACGATTGACAAAAATGTTACTGGGGCTGGAGGAGTTGAGTTATAAGGAGAGAATGGATAGGCTGGGACATTTTCCTCGGAGTTTATGAGATTCAGGGGTGACTTGAGGTGCTTTATAAATCCTAAAAAGGCATAGATATGGTGAATAGCAATGGTCTTTGCCCCCAGATTAGGGGAGTTCAAAGTGGATGGCACAATTTTAAGGTAAGTGGGGAAAGATATGAAAGGGCCTAAGGGCCATATTGTTTCACAACAAATGTGTATCAGATACGGAATAAACTACCAGAGGAAGTGATAGATGCAGTTACAATACTTTAAGAAAAAAATTCGTACAGTTACTTAAAAAACAAAAGTTTAGAGGGACAAAAACAGACTTTGCTGGAAAATTGCAGTCGGTCTAGCAACATGTGTGAAGCAAAAAAACTCAGACTTAACATTTCTGGTCCGGAGGAAGGGTCACCGGACCCGAAACGTTAACTCTCATATTGTTCTTCACAGATACTGCTTGACCTGCTCAGCTTTTCCATCAACTTCTGGTTTTGTTCATGATTTACAGCATCCTCAGTTCTTTCGGTTTTTATTAAGGTTTAGATAGGTATGAGACAAAATTAGCCAAGTGGGACTAGTTTTCTTTGGGGTCCGCATGGACGAGTTGAATCGAAGGGTATGATTTCCTGCTGTATGCCTTTCTGCCTCTGTGACAGTTGGCCCCACCACATCTCTCATTCCGTGACAGATGCGTTATCCCTATGGTTCAACTAGGTTACAAGCGTTTTGCTTCAACTGACCATGTCTGTGTTCATAATTTTTTTCTCTTAATTAATTCATGGGGTAGAGGTTTCGCTTTACGGCAGCATTTATTGTCCATCCCTAATTGCCCAGAGGTCAGTTGAGTATCAGACACATTGCTATGATCTGGAGTCACTTCTAGGCCAGATCAGGTGAAGATGGCAGTTTTCTTCCCAAAGGACATTAATGAACCAGATGGGTTTATCCGACTATCAGCAACTGTTTCATGGTTATCACCAGACTCTTAATTCCAGATATTTCTTGAATTGAAATTCCACCATCTGCCATGGCAGGATTTGAACATAGAATATGATCTTGGTCTATGCATTAACAGTCCAGTGATAACACTAATAGACCATTGCCTCCCCTAAATGTTTCACTATGTAGTTTATTGTTACAAAACCAGTCTAGATCTCTTTAAAAAATTGCAACTTGCCTGTTACTGTTCATATTATACACATCTATATCCGATTCAAAACATCCGAGAACATGTAATGTTAGACATATATTAACCATGTCTCCAATATGAGTGAATTTGATGCTGCTGATCTAAACCATGTATCATGCATAACTTCGCTCATTGATAACTTACTTTGTTTTCCACCAGGCCATTTGTAAACTCGTACTCAATCGAAATCAGACTAAATAATTTAGAGAGTCGTTCTGCATATGTAGTTTAGCAGCAAATAAAGTAAGATACATGCAGTTCTATACGACACAGAATTTGCATTGCCTACTCTTCAATTTAATGAATAATGGTTCCACACATGTCAGATCCAAATCTATTGAAATAACTCGGTGATGTTAAAGCTAAAATATTGCCCAATAAGCAAAAGTTTGAAACGAATTTTATATCTAAACGCACAAAACAATTTGGACCATGACAGAGATGGAAAGGTTTCATTTTAGGTTGGTGATTGGACCTCATCTCAGTATCTGCAGTAAACAGTTCCACTTGATACAGACTCAAAGACATTGTGTGGTGAGAGGAGACGGCGGAGGTTGCCGTTCGTCGACAACTATTACATCATCCTTAATTTCATACGAAAGGCATAGAACCGTGAAATATCTTATTTCATTTGAATGCAAGCAAGATGAAGTTTGAAACTTAATTATCCCTCTGGAGACTCCCACCAGGAATAAATGAAGGAGAACTGGAATGTTGAGCAGAGCTGAGGTACACACTTGCGGGAAATAATTTCATTTCTAAAAGGTGATGCACGGGCAAGCCACTGAACCCTTCTATGCCATTTGCTATCCTATTCTCGCGGTTATCGGTGTTCCTGGTAAGGAATAGTTAAAAAATAAGTTGTTTATTCTTGTGAAGCAATTTGTCTCCTCTTTCAGGACAAAAATGAATTTTTGCTACAATATTCAATGTTGTCTGAATAAGGACATAAACTAATCCCCAATATATGTCTGTGCATTTTGAGATATTGTATTTTGTGGTGCTCAACGAGAGTACATCTTTTGACCTTGGTCCATTGAATATCAAAGGGTACAATTCAATTTATTATTCGTTATTCATGGACGTACCGTTTAACCAATGACTGAAATATGGATCTTCTTGTGGGAACTTGTGACATTAATGTGTCATCTTGGTGGAAGTTAATTTTTACCCCATGACAGCAAAGTGCAAACTTATGTTTGTTTTTAAAATAATACCATGTCATACCAACCAGTGATATGCATTTGGCACTGTTGTCTTATTGCAGTACGGAAAATGAATTTTGACAACTTAATCACTATACTAACTGAATTGTAATATCAACATATTTCCATTTAATTTAGGAATTTGTCTTGCGTTCTCAGAATGAATGAGGTATTAGGAGCAGTATAGTGAGGTCTAATTGTTTTTTCCTCATTTTTATTGTAATATTTGGAATTAAGTATAGAAACTTTTGAAAGTTGATACTACAGGTGCAAGATGTTTCGTCTATTGTGTTTGTTGCTTGCAAGTCGGGATTTGTGCAGTTTAAATAACCATGGTTTTGATTACTATGGAATGGGACTTTCCCTGGTAAGGTTAACATTTGTTGCCACTCCCTGGTTATTAGTTTGGAAGGTAGACTTACAGTAGCTGTATTTCATGTGGTGTGATGAATTGAAGGAGTTCAAATACATCTATTATTTTTACTCAGAGATGAAAATTCCTTACTCAAGACGAAAGGTATCTCTGTTGAAGGAGTTTTGTTATAAGGAACGTCTTGAGCAAGGAAGAAAAGAGGGATTAATTGAGTAAGTAAACATCAGAGATTTAGACTTTCACAGTTAAATGCACAAATGACACTGATAGAGAGTTGGAAATCAGAAATGCAGAAGAAACGACAGTTCGAGGGGCTCTGAGAAATGTGGTGGCTCTGGAACTTTAGTAGGACCTCAGTAGAGAGAGGATGAAGGCATTTCAAATGTCGAAGTTCGATTATGTCAAATTCTTGAAATTACCAGTCTGGGAGTCAATTTATGTCAATAAACACAGAGCAGCTGGATTGACAGGGATTCTCATGAATAAAAACAAATGAGTTGAAAATCCTTTGAAGAAATATTGGTACAGTTTTCTGAGAGCATATTTTGTGGTGGGATCAATGTTAATGAATTTGAATGTGGCAGACAAATACAAACTGTTTCAGGATATGTGGAATCTGCAGATAATAAAGGATAAACCGGGCAGTTGCAATGAGCAATTGGAGAGATGAGCCCAGTCAGTTATAGAATCATAGAGCTGTACAGCATGGAAACAGACCCTTTTGCCCAACTCGCCCATGCCGACCAGATTTCGAACATTGGTCTCTTCCCATTTGCCAGTCGTTGGCCCATATCCCGATAAACTCTTTCTATTCACGTACACATCCAGATGCCTTTTAAGTGTCGTAATTGTACCAGCATCCATCACTTCCTCTGGCAGTTCATTCCAAACACGCACCCACCCTCTGTGTGAAAAATTGGCAACTTAGGTCCCATTAAATCTTTCCCCTCTCACTTTAAACCTATGACCTCTAATAATGGGCTCCTTTGGGTAGTAAACATAACCTTTGCTATTCATTCTATGTATGCCCATCATGATTTGATAAACTTCTGTAAGTTCACCCCTCAGCCTCCGATGCTCCAGGGAAAATCATTCCCAGCTATTCAGCCTATCGCTTTGGCTAAAACCCTCTAATCTCGGCAACCCAATCATAAATCATTTATAGAAACATCTCTTCTTATTTTCTACAGCAAACCTGGCAGTGATCATAATTCTATCGCGAGGACGATGTGGTCTTTCTCACTGCGTCACCTTCTACCTGCTGGCATTAGCTGTGACCGATTTCCTTGTTATCATTTCTGGTTGTATTCTCAACAGAATCGGCGGAATCTACTTTTCGAACAGTGTTATGTTTACTACCCAAGGATGCACCCTTAGCACTGTGGTCATTTATACAACTCGCGATGGCTCAGTTTGGCTTACTGTGGCCTTTACCATTGACCGCTTTGTGTCCATCTGTTGTCACAGCCTAAAGATTAGGTATTGCACCCAAAAAACTGCTTCATGGATCATAGGAATGCTCTGTGTCCTGAGCTGCGCCAAGAACGTCCCATACTATTTTGTCTTTCAGCCATTATACGTGGTGGATGGAGTGTCCTGGTTCTGCGATATCAAGCTTATCTGTTACACATCACCTGCCTGGCTGGCCTATGACTGGCTGGACCATATCTTAACTCCTTGTCTTCCGTTCCTTGTCATTCTGCTGCTTAATATCTTGACAGTGAGACACATCTTGGCGACGAGCAGAATTCGTCAGAAGCTCTGCATCACCAAGAATCATGGAGACTTAGAGATGTCCAACCGCAAAAAGTCCATTGTCCTGCTCTTCGCCATCTCTCTTAGCTTCCTACTCTTGTGGGCAGCCTATATTGTGCATTACCTCTATGGACAGCTTACAGGTGAGGGATATACAACGCCCAATGATCCATGGTACAGCTTTCAAGAGATAACCAACATGTTCCAGTTAGTCAACTCCTTGAACAATGTCTTCATCTTTGCTGTGGCTCAGAAGAGATTCCGGGAGGAGGCGAAGAAACTAATAATGTATCCCTTCACTTGGCTCATTGGATGTTTTAAACATTGCAAAATAGACTGATTTGTCTTTTTCTATTGTTTCACATCCATCACTGTGGCCTGGTGTGTCACACTCTTTCTCTATTTCTTTCTTTCTCTCTTATCTCCTTTCTTCCTTCCTTTCTTTATTTCTTTATTTCTCCCTTCCTTCCTTCATTTCTTTTTCTTTCTTCCTTTTTTTCTTTCTTTCTCTCTTTCTTTCTCTCTTTCTTTCTTTATCTCTTTCTCTCTTTCATCCTCTCTTTCTTTATTTCTCTATTTTGTCCTCTCCTTCTTTCTCACTCAAATTCACACTGTCTCTTTCACAAACACTCCTTCTGTCAAATTCACGTCAGGAACATAAACTTTTCTCACCCTGTCTCACTCTCTCACTCATACACACAGCCTCGCTCATATATTTCCTCACACAGTAACTCGTGTTCACTCACATTCATAGTTCAACTCATTCAGAAAAACTCAATATTGGCACACACAAACTTCCTCTCTTATGCAATCACACAGAGTAGATAAAAGACGGGTAACAGTGGGCCCATTAGCTTAACTTAAATCGTGGCCAAAATGTTTGAATCTGTCAATTTGGAAGAAATAGAGATAAATCTGCGTAGAAATTGTCCAAACGGGCAGACACAGATTGGATTCATGAAGGGCAGGTCATATTTAACTCATGCAGTGGAAATTTTGGAGAATATTACTGGTGCGGTGGGACAACAGGGAACCGGGGGATCTGGTGAATCTGAATTTCCAGAAGACTTTCAACAAAGTGATGCATGAAAGACTGATGCATAACATAATGCTGCACAGCGTTACAGGTGTTGTATTAGCATGGAGAGACGATAGGTTAGCTAACAGAAAGCAAAGAGTTTGCATAAAAGAGGGTCTTTTTCTTTCTTATTTGGTATTCACTGTCTAGTGGTGTGCATCAGGAATCAGTGTTGGGACAGCTATGCTTTACAATTTACATTGTTGATTTGGAGTTGGGGAACAAGTGTCATGTGTCAAATTTCACAGAGGACATTAAAACAACTGATACAGTAAAGTGCGCAGAGTACACTGAAAGTTTGCAGAGGGATATACATGGACTAAGTTTTTGAGCAAAAATCTAGCTGATGGAACATAATGTTGTTAAATGTGACGTCATCCATTTTGGTGGGATAACGACAGAATGGTGAATGGTTGCAGCATGTTGCTGTGCACAGGGAGCTGGTTGTTCTGTTGAACTAACACAAAAAGTTGGTTTGCAGGTACAGAAGGTAATTCAGAACGGAAATGGAACATTTTCCTTCATTGCTAGAGGGATGGATTTAAAAAGCAGAAAGTTGATGCTGCAGCTGTATAAGATTGTAGTGAATGCCACAGGTGGAGCACTGATAATCGTTTAAGGATTCTTACCTGAGAAGAAATGCGCTGGCACTAGAGCGGAGCAGAGGCAATTCACTCTATTGATTCTGGATTTAAGAGGATTGGCTTATGAGGACACGATCAGTGGACTAGAACGATACGAATTGCAAAATATTAAAATAAAGAGAGGGTATCTTATATAAACAGATAAACTGAGGAGGGAATAGATAAGATAGAAACAGGAAGGTTGTTACTATTGGTTAGGGGGCGGGGGTGGTGGTGAAACTAGAACTAAGGGGTATAGCCTCAAAATAAGTGGGAACAGATTTAGGACTGAGCTGAGTAGAAAAGTCTTCACCCAAAGCGCCATGAATCATTGGAATTCCTTACCTAATGAAGCAATCGAAGTTACTTCACTTTTTGAGACAAACATGGATAGATTTTTGAAGAGTAAACGAATTAAGGTTTATGGTCAGCATTAGGTTAAGTGGGGCTGAATCCATTAAAACGTCAGCCATGATTTCATTGAATGATGGGCGAGGGCCAATGGGACAGATCTCTTACTCCTGCTTCTATTCTCATGTTCTTGTGCTCATATGTTCTTTGTTGATGCAGAGACATGGTCTTAGGGCCCTTCATTTGATGTATGTGAGGCATGTCCAAACAATATTTGTCATCGGACAGTTTGTATGTTTGTTTTCTCTTTTTTCGCTAATCTGTCCTCACCCTTCTAACGGTTCATTTATTGAAACCCAGAAACTTTGAGCAGACAGGAAACTCAAAGCTAAAATCTCATCTAAATCTTATGACATTACAATTCAAAAACAGTCCGCTCTGATTAGAGAGGAGAAGTGTTTGCTTGCGGAAGAAGATTAAATGATCAGGGACCACCAGCTGCAGCCTCCGAAGAACATTGAGTAGCCAATGTAGAACTAAATCAGGGCTTCAGACAAAGCCAAGACTGTGCCTCCTCAATACAGCAGGGACAAGAAAAAGAAATCTGTATTCCAATGCGAAGAATTTTCACTCGTGATAACTTCCTGTGAAGCTGAATTTTCGAGTTATAGAGCCACCACCCACTGTGGGGAAAAAAAAAGAATGTCCTTCCGTCCGGTTTTAAATAATTCCCTTCTCGGCTGAAACATTTGCCCTCTAGTTTTGAGCTCCGCCTCAGTGTAGAAGAGACCTTGGTTACTCACCTTATCACCTTATTCACACTTAGTGATTTTATAAACTTTTATAAGATCGTCCCTCACCCTGCCACGCTCATGGAAAAAAAAAATAAAGAAAATAGTCGCAGCCTCTCAAAACTCTCCTTGGAACTCAAATCTTCCAGTTCATCTGTAGTATCATAGTGTGTCTGCCTATAAAGATATAAATGGAATATTAAACTGTGAGCACACTCAAGGGCAACTTAGTTCCTATTTCTTGAGATTTATCTTTAGTGGCCAGGAAAATGCGCTAGAGCTGTTGAACCCATTTTACAACGAAAACAGTGAATTCGACGCACTCAAAGATTCATCAAAGTTGGGAACAAATGTCCAGATAAAGTTTTTTCAGAGAAGTAAACTCAAACCAAAAACAGAAATTGCTGGAAAAACTCAACAGCTCTGACAGGATCTATAGAATGAAATCAGAGTTAACTTTCCAGATCCAATGACCCTTATTCAGAACTGATTGTAGTGAGGAAAATGTTGGTGTATATACTAGAGAGTGGGTGGGTAGAGAAGAAATAGTCAACTATAGGTGGAAATGGAACCCATGTACAGAGAAAAAAAAAATAAAACAATTAGGCAAACAACGGAATGTGAAAAGTAAAGGTTAGAAGTATAGCAAACTACTAATGGGGACGTTATTGGTTAATAAAGAGTTGTTTGTGATTGCAGTCAATGTGATCGCAGTGCCCAGGATTTCAGTAAGGTGTTGGGGTAGGAAGTCGGAAGAAGGTGTTCAGGCCAAAAAGTTATTGAACTCGACATTGAATCCAGAAGCTTGCAGTGTTCACAAGCGGAAAATAAAGTGTTCGTCTACTTTGTGATGAAAACGTCACCCTGTTCCTTGGAGCATGATCGCAAGCTCGAGACAGAGACATTGATCAAGGAACACGTTGATGTGCTTAAATGACAGGCAACCGAAAGTTCATCGTTATTTTGTGAACAGAATGTAGGTATTCTGCAAAACTGTCGGCCATCTACTCTTCGTCTACCAAAAGTAAAGCACAAAACATTGTGGCACTGGGCCCTCCCTGGAATTTTGTTGGCACCAGCACATATAGTAACTGCTCAGGTCGAAACTCACTGGTTTCGGAGGTCCTGCTCAAAGATCACCGGTTTCAGGGATAGTTTTCCCTGCCTCCTACTGAGTCAGAACCAAATCCGATAGTGCAAGTAGGAAAGTCAATCAGTACTTATTAAACACGCATGATTTCTGGTGCAATTCTCAAGCTCTCACCCCACCCCCCAACATTGGGAAGGGAATTATCAGGGAAATTGAAAACCTTGCTAAATTTTGGGAATTTGTTTGGAGTTATACACTGGATAAGAGAACATGACGTCGGTGAAAAGATCTCGGTGCCACCATCTTCCTGTGGCTGTGGAATATGAGACAGTCTGACCTCCAGCCACTCACTGACAAAGTATTTGGAAAATTGTTGAATTCTGATCCTCAAGCACAGAAAGTGTTGAATGGAAAGAACAGAGGCTTGTTCGAGGAATCAAGTTGCTGGTTGCATGGAATTGGCTTCGGATGTAAATACACGAGATTCTGCCCATCCATCACGAGCTTGGAACCAACACCATTTCTTTGCCTGTGCTGGAGAAATTGAGTGAATTGGAAGCGGCTGCCTGTCACTCAGATAAAAGTTTATGCCCACTCTGTTTCCTGCTTGTGAACAAATTCTCGCTGATTGTGCCAACGCCTTATAACCAGTCAGGTATTGCCCACTAACATCTTAAGTGACAGTCTGTCAAAAGTTTTCTGAAATTTCAAATACAGTGAATGCACTTGATCTCTCTTATTTATTCTATTCGTTATATCCTCAAAAAAAGAAAAGGTTCGTTAGGTTTGTGGAGAATGGTTTGTTTTCATAACCCATGCTGGTTTCGTCAAATTTCAATAATGCTTTAAAAATGTTCTGTTATCCCAAGACACGCAGAGATACATGCATGTTGCAAAAGTTCGAGGCAACACGGCACAGTTTTATTTTTAAGTATTCTGTCGTTATATGAAATGCGCACCCTGATAGTGTGTTGGAAGCGTTTACATTCTGTTTTGTCAAAGGTTAGTTCGATGTGTCCCATGAACTAAAATAGATCAGGGCCTGCCGCCTAGAAGATACGGGTTTGCAATGCGCTGAATCACATAGTTTCAAATCAGCAATGCATCTAGAGCCCAATTGGCAACATTCCGAGCTGCCCCAATCTGTTGTTCGAAGTAATGACAGTCTGGGAAGCTTATTGGCTCCTAAGAGTAGGAGTGCAATATTCAGTCTACTACATCCATGGATTTGCATCAGCAACTACAGAGGTTACAGAGACTGCACTGAATTTGTGAAGGAATGCCAATCCCAACATTGCCAACAGTTATGACGGCATCACAATGATACAATATTACAACAGCCGTTACTTTTGGGAGCAATGGACATAGATATACATGTTTGTGTGCAAGTGTATGTCTGCATGTATC